GGAGGACTTGTTCCCTGAATTTTTCCGCCCTTAAAAATTCGACGACCTCCGCCGGGTATTTGAACCTGCGTACCACGAGTCATGAGGTGGGAACGTTACCTCTAGACTACGGAGGCCGCTTAATTTAACACTTAATAAAAATCGTTAAGAGAAATTTCAGAGAAAACCGTCACTCTTTTTTTGGGGGGGATGTTCATCTGCGAGCCCTAATTTTTGAAGCAGGAATATTCGTATATATCAGAAACCGACTTACGTATGACACAGAAGTTTGAACAGCGAATATAAAACAACACCATGTAACCGCTCAGGCGCTAACAAGGCGCACATCCATGCATACAGACAGAGAGACAGCATTCCAGAAACTTTTCGTATTCAAGGGAGTTCAAAACGTGCAAACCAGTCAAAATATAGGGATCAAATTTCTCATGCTCTAATGTAAAAAGAGACCCATAACTTATCTGTAAATTAATGTCAAGAAACCAACGTACGTTCTTAACTGAATAATTGGAACTACTTTTAACTTACCGTTAACGTGAAGGGGATCGTGTTGACGAGTTCGAGTATAAAATGGAAAGACAAAAGTTGCTGCCAGATGTTGCCCTGGAACACAAGAACAGTTCGCATAAAAGCTTTAAATATTTTAACTTAACGCCAAGTTATGTATTAGTATCAGGTGTAGTAGAGTAAAGTAAAATAAGTAAAGGTATCCCTGTAACAATCGTGGGAGGCCCATAGAGTTGTGAGACGTCGAGGTTCCCATATTTTCTAGACAATCGAGTCACATATGGCGCTGGGGTTGTCAATCTTAAGAGCTGGCCGCCCTTTACCCCCAGGAAGATTCTTGGTACTCATTTCTGTTAGAGGCTGAGTCGACCTCGGGGCCATAGTGCGGCTGGAAGGATTAGGCAAACTGAAACAAATCCAATGACTTCATCGGGATTCGAACTCGCAACCTTCCAGCTTATAGCACAGTGCCTCAAGCAACTACGCTACCGCGTGCCGCACATATTTCAGTACACGGTTAACTATACTTTTACCTTTAGAAGTAGCTGTAACAGTACAACAACTTCTGAAGGCACAGGTGCCTGGAATCATACGTTTTTCTGTATCCATAGAACGAACCATGTGATCGTCCTGTGTCATCTGAAGCTGTACGCCTTACAGCCACAAAATGTCCAAGGCATGTTGACATTTTGCTGCCCCCGGAACTCTTTGCTATAAATAGAATTGGTCAATAGTTTTACTTCCTGATTACAAAGAAGACTATAGTCTTGCAAGCCACACATTTCCTTCTACCCACACCAATACAAACAACTTGCATTCGTCCCTGTTTGTCTCAAATGCAAACAGATGGATCATACCTTACTGAACATGGTGTATCAATTTTCATACTGATTTATGGCCAGAAAATGCATTTACTAAGCCTGAAAGGAATCAGCAAATAACCTATTTGCTATACTGTACCATATAGGTGTTTTCCTTGAGGGACTGAGGAAACCAAGAAGAAATTCAGCCGGTGTCCCGGACGAGATTCGAACCTAAGACGCAAGTCTTATTGTTCCATCGTATGTAAACGTGGAACTACGGAAAACGGGATTTTCTCAACAAGAACTCACTTCGAATAGTGAATTAAATTTTGTTGTAATACTAACAAAATTAATTGCATGGAACAGAATCCTTCCTGAGAAGTTGATAGTAGTTCAGATAATTAACAAATTCTCGCTTTCACAATTCATTACTGTGTTCAAAAGAGCACGCCGCTGATTCCTAAACATAGGCCATTTTAATCCAGTCCGTAGCCTTTTTTTTTTTGTGGTCAATTTCACGGCGCTGACGGTGGCACACGGTAGCGTATTAAGACGCTATGCTACAAGCTGGAAGGTCTTGGCCTCGATTCCCGATGAAGTCATTGGATTTTTCAACTGACTAGATCCTTCCAGCCGCAATATAGCTCTGGGGTCGACTCACCCTCTAACAGAAATGAGTATCAGAAATCTTCCTTGGTGGTAAAGGGCGGCTGGCGCGTAAATATGACAACCTCGCCGTCATCTGTGAGTCGACTGTCTAGAAAGTGTGGCAGCCTCGACGTCTCACTGCGCTATGGGCCTCCACGGCCTGCTACAGAGATAGAAGACCTTTATTACCTTTATTTCACGGCACTGTCAGTATCTCGTGGCGTCGAGTTGCAGGGCGACTGGTGAATAATGGATTGGAGTTGACTTGGAAGGAAGAGGTCGTGGTTTGATCATGATGCTAACCTTGGCAGCTGCCCAGATGGGCAGAGGAAAGAAAAGAAATCTTCAGTTGTCCTGGTAAAGACTGGAACTGAATCATAGGAATATAAGCCTGAAGTGTTTCTACTAAACCAGCGTCATCTGTTCTCATATCCTATGGTTTGAGATTCATTTTAATATTATCCTCACATCTAGACCCAAATACAACAGTTCTGATGTGCAGTCTTTCTTCGGTCATTCATATCTATCTTAATGTCAGCTTCCTTTCATTTCTAGACTTTCTAGTAATGCTTTGAGTGGAAATTATGTATTCCATCATTTAAAAGAATGTTCATCATTTACTTGTAAGTATAAGTTTGAGCCGATATTTAACTTCTAATAAGATTTTCTATGGTGTCGGTAATATATCATCTTAAACTATAATAATGGCCCTTAATTTCAAAAAAGAGTTAATTATATTGCATATCAGCAATGACATTTTACCGGTCACGGTAGCCGAGCGATCTAAAGCATGAACTGTCTTCGCTCGGAAGTCGGGATCTTGTGTTCGAATCCCACACAAGGCATGGATGTTTGGTGTGTGTGTATGTGTTCATTCTGTGTTTGTGTTATCCTGTGTCTAGGTAGAGGTCTTACGACGAGCCTGTCACCAGTCCAAGGAGTCCTACCGTCTGTAAAAATTAGCAATGAAATTGAGAAATCAGCCCTATGCTCCAAAAGTCGGAGCGAAAGGAAGAATGAAAAAGAAAATAATGAAAATTTGGACCAGTAATTAATTTGAACATTAGTAATTTTTTTTCCTTGGCACTAGAGCCCCAGTGGGCCTAGGCCTACCACCGTGAAACTCTCCGTTCACTTCGGTTTTACTAGATCTTACACATTCGGTAGGACTCCCTGGGCGGGTGATCAGCTCGTCGCAAGGCCTCTACCTGTACACAAACACAGAAAAACGCACACATACAAACTAAACATCCATGCCCTGAGTGGGATTCGAACCCACGATCACGGGTTCCGAGCAAGCGAAGACAGTACATGCCTTAGACCGCTCGGCTACCGTGACCAGCTACATTAGTAATTACCGTTTCAATTTCAAATTTAATTTTCCTTCGAAAATTTTGTCTCATAGTGTTAGAATATCAGGGCCAAAGACAAATCATTAACCTTACCATAGTCAATTTCATGCACTCTGTGCAAGTAATTAGTCTTTGGACGAGTCCATACACTTCACATGTGCACTTTAAATCAATAATCCAATTTCAGTGTCAGTAATTGAACTTCATGGAAGTAATTGAACTTTGAGCCAATAATTATAATCTTCGCGTAACTTCACTATGAGCTATCAATAAAAGCTGTCATCACTGTAAAGTGGTTCGTACTTCAGTCTCGCGCCCGACTTCTGACATATTCTGGACTCACTTCCCCCATACAGATTACAGGATCACAGCTTAAAGTAGATCGCAAACAATTTCTTCTTTATTTTCCCAAGTCACTACTTAATGACATTCATTCGCTTCTATTGTATAATTTATAAAGTTAATGCTGAATTATTAAGTACACAAAAAATAATTAAACTTTGTTATAATCTATATGAGACACGATCATGCCCATTCATAATTATAACGAAGAATATGATATTAGTTGGGCCCCGATCTTTATGCGTTAAAAACACTTAAAATATGCACTAAAAAGCGGGAAAATATGCACCAAAAATAGAACAATATGCACTTAAGAAACAGGTCACTTTATTCAGACTCACCTATTTACATGTATCATTCACTGCAGAAAGTAGCATCACAATAGGCAACTGGAAGTCTCTCAATGTTTTCTGGAGACAAACTGCGTCTATTGTCCATCAAAATGAGTTTATAGGCTCAGAACGATCTTTCTACATCAACTGACGTGATTGGACAGTACTTATACACTGGCGCCGAAGGTTCGGAACATTCATCTGGCAAAGATATCCTAATTCCACTCAAGTACTGTCTAATTGACTGAATCATTTTAGTCCTGGGTTCGAATTCAACACCATTTGTAACTTGCATTTAATCGTCTCTCCAATTTCGCCTGGAGCAGAATCCAGTGAACGAGTTGAAGTGAGTCGTGAAGGAGTGCACCACAAGATTCTAAGCTCTCAATGCTTTTGAAACTGTAGAAAAATGTGCATGGATAAAAGTCACATCTTGATAAACAATATCACATCCAAACACCACTTTTGCTTCACGGACACATGCATACTCATCTTAAAGTTTTGTAACCACTTATTTCACTTGACTGAAATTCTCCTGATAAAATGAAGCTGCGGATATCCATGTCCCCCACCTAGTTAGGACAGGTTCAGGTGGCACAAGAACCTGGGGTAAGCAATCTTTCTAGAACTGGACACGAGCTGGTGCTTTCAGAGACAGTTTTTTCCCCAGTTGCAATTAAATCGTTAACAACTGGAAACTGCGCATATTTTTTCTGCAATATGACGTAATCCGTGCGCTAAACAGGTTACGTGTATAAGATTTGGATAAAATACTTGTAAGGCCTTTGCTGCTTTCAGCATATAGGAAGCTTCATCTGTGAGTAATGCAAGCGCCTTGCAACAATTATTCTCAATTTCAGATGGCCATAGTAGTCGCAGAGAATCATTTACAAACCTTGCTGTTGTGCTATGGTTGGTTTTCTCTAGTACTTTGCAAGCAAGAATATGAGGGTTGCCAGGTTCGTCGGGATGTAGCTTACCAACTACGAAATTTGCTATGAGTCGGCCACATAAATCGGTTGTCTCATCAACCAACATCCAGACATAGTTCCCTCCGATGTCAGAACGGATTGACTGCAGAGTAGAGGCATACAGCAAAGGTAGATATTTTTTTCTAAGAGTTGATCCGTCTGGGATTTTTTTAAGTATCCAGAAATTATCGCATAACTGGATTGCTTAATTTATTCCATGGAATGTTGCTGCATACTAAAGCATTACAAAGATTGGCTGAAAGTGTATTAACAGAGGATTTGGGTTTGACCTGTGTAAGAAGTAGTTGTTGTGGTGAGCTGTTCTTCTTCCCCTTCTTTGCCGCAATATGTGCAGTCGTTCTTGAGTGTTGTTCAAGCTGAAGTTTCTTTTCACATTTTACTTCCTTTGCGCACACTTGACAGTACATGACGACACCGTCTGTTGAATAGTCACTATTGCCCGACACCCACCGAATTTTTAAATATCTACTGGTGCACGTTTCTTTAGGCATTTTCAGTACACGAACACTTTTTTGATGCAGACTATTAAAGTAAAGAGTAACACATTAACTGAAGAGACCTCTCGAGACCAACCCTCTGATGCT